ACTGCCGCTACAAAACCCTGCTGGCTCCCAAGTTTAATCTGTTTTTTTTGTAACCATTCACTGCCTTTTGCTGAGATTGAGGGAGCTAAGCTGATTTAAAGGATGTGGTGTACGAGTATCTCTTTTCTGAATCATTCCGGAGAGGAAAATCAATGGTAATGTTTAACAGGAGCCCCATAATTAAAGGCCAGATTTCCTCCCCAAAAACATCCCGCATCGGCCATGCTGTTATTTTTTTAAAGTTGGGAAAACAAGGCAGAGATGTTTAATTGCTTAACTTGTGCACAGTATTGATTCTAAATCAGGATTACAGTACAGAGAGAGAGAGAGAGAGAGTAGAGGGTCTAGATCACAAATCTACGGGAAGGGTCCTAATTATCTCAATCTAGGCAAATTTCCATAAGAAGCAGGTGACTGCATAATCAGTACAAAATTCAGTGTATCCATTATACTGAATCATATATATCTGTAAACAAGCAAACAAGGCTGGGTTTAGCCATATTCCTGTATTTTATTACATAGAGCATGTATACTTGATACCTCCATTAAACTGGCATGCCATACTGTATTAGTTCATTCATGCCAAAAAGGTGTACAAATCTGTTGAATGATGTTGATGGTACTAACCCTAATTCGATAGACTATGATCAATGTAAATAACAACATTACACTGTATTGGAGTAGTATTGCATAGGAAATATACCTTTGATGCTGGGAAAAAATAAAGAAGAATTACCTGGTTGGGAACAAGTCAGCACCGGAGATCTTCAGTTTTTTGCTGTCATAATACAAGCAGAGCTGCCTTTTTAATCTGGATCTGGGTGGTAAAGGGTTGTCCCTTCCGTGACAGATATTTGCAGCTCAATCTGCTGTACTCTGAGCCTGGCTCACGACTCTTGCCTTGTGCTGCTTGGATATGCTGTGTGCTTGCTGTAGTCTGTGGCTTCCCTGCCTTTCAATCTCTTCCCCCCTCTCTCTCTCTTTCTCTCGCCCTCCCCCTTTTGTCTATTGCTGCCTGGGCCTTGGCTGTTGCTTTTGCCACAGTACCTTGGCTGGAGTGCCTTTTCAGCCTGTGTGTGCGCTCAGGGATGGACAGGCTCCAGTCTCTGCTGCTGCTTCTCTAATGGCGACTGCAAACACATAGATTCTTTTTAAGTACCACCTACTGAATGTTCCTGTGAACACTCCTTTAATTTCCTCCTTTTTATGTCCTGCAAGCGCTTGATCTCTTTAGATAGCAGGTTAGGAACAAGCATCATCCTGCTCAGAAATTTGATGGTAAATTTGAACCAAACAGGGATATGAGTTGCTTTAAATGCACAGTAGGTTCCCACTGCAAGTATATTGTGATCTGATATATAATTTTTCCTTATTCATAATGCGTGTTACAATCCAGTGAATGCACGCTAGGTGTGGCCTTTTTGTATAACCATCTCCAGTGTCAGAGGACAGATCAGTTTTCTGATCAGACTACAGACTACAGTGGCTACAAAGCCACTCTTTTTAATATGTTTGTTACTAGGAAAAATGAATTGCAGTCAGTGAAAGGTTTGTGTTACAGAAACTGTAAGCGATTTAAAGCTCAGTCACTGAGCCATCCATGGTTTGCATCTTGGAAGCTAGCTACAGAATCACCAGCTTCAGTGCTACTCATATTATCCAAAGCTGCCACTGATGACCATGACATACCAGCGATTTGCAAGTGCCTAGATTAGCCTTTCTCAGCCAAGGTGCCGTGGCACCCTGGTTTACCTTCTGGCTTCCTCACGGGTGCCTCAAAATGTTGTGACAGTGGGACTGTCATGTGAAGCGGAATATGAAGACTGAGGAAAAGGGGGCTCCTGATGTAAAGGGGGAACTATGATGTGAAAGGGGGGACTCTCATATGAAAGAGGGGCTTCTTATGTGAAAGTGGGGGCTCCTGATGTGAAGAGGAGCTACAGGTGCAAAGGGTGACTCTGATGTGAAGGGGGGTTATCTGCATTTGAAGGGGGCACTTTGATGTGAAGGGGGAAACCCCCTTTATTGTTTGTTTTTCTATGAGACTTTAGACTGGGGTGCCTTGAGATTTTGCATAGTTTTAAAGGGTACCGTGACTGAAAAAAGGCTAAATGCCGAAAGTGCCATTTTTCTGCCGATACAGCGGCGCATCCCTGCTTTCTTTCCTCCACGCTGGGCGCTGCTCTGTATCCCAGTGGGGAGGAGAGAAACTGTCACAAGCGGCCAACCACTGCGGGAGGAGCAGCGTCTCTCCTGCCACACTGCTAAGCCTCCGGTTACTACCTGTATATCCTCAATTATGAATGAATGGAAAGTGATCTACATCCCCCTCCTGTTCATTCATGATTGTGGACACGGTAAACACACTATCTCCACATGTTATAAATGAATAGGAACACTCAGTACAGAGGATTCCTGTTCATTTATAACAGGGGCTGCACAAAAAGAGATTGTGTTCTCAATCTCTTTTTCTATTTTAGACCCCTAATATTTCCCTGAAGCACCTAAAGGTGAAGTAAAAAATAAAAATATTTAATAAAAACAAATAAATAAAAATAAAATATAAAAAAATTAGATTTTTTTAAAATAAAATATTTGAAAAAATTTGAAAAAGTTAGAAAAAAACATTTTCGGTTTCAGTTTCGATTTCAGCCCGACATTTTTTTCCTTTCGTTTCGGTTTTAACATTTTTATTTTGGCGCACCTCTAGAATATATAATCAGTGAAATGTCTATAGCCTGGGCACAACTGCACATTAAAGCTCATACTTGAAAGTCCATAGGAATGAATAGGAGTGAAGAGCATTTGCATGGGCCAAGCTGGAAGGATTTGCAGATGTGCAATCTAATGTAATATCTTGTTGGATCAAGGACAGATGAGTTCAAAACTAGGAGGGGGAGTCAGAGATTTTAAAGGATAGTTATGGTTATGTAAGCTGTAAGCCCCACATCCCCATCACCTATCCATGCAATGTATGCCATCCTGTATAGGCGTCAAATTGGCAGATGACCATGTACAAATATGCATATGCTGGTCGAATTTGCAGTACTGTGCATGCACAGTTTTTCCCCCTCTTGGGTATAATAAAGAATTGTGAAAAAGCTATGTATATATAATACAGCAGTGCCCACCAGTATACATTGCATATGGAGGGCAAGGGGGCAGTTGGGCTTATATCTTATATAACTATAGTCACTAGTTATTAAAAAAAAGACTCAAAACCTACAGAATTTTCCTACTGATGTTTATTCAGCAATGGCACCATGAAGGTGAAAACTTAAATTGATTTAAATCTGGATTAGAGCATTATGATCCTGATTCAGGTCCCATGAAGACCAGTGTTTAAACAAAACACTCAGCATATATTACTGATGTGAACTAAGCACTCCAATTTCCCAAAGCAGCAGAAAAGTGCATTGGGCTGGGGTGTTAAAATAAACACAGCCTGTAGTGTTCATGGGTGTTGATTCTGAAGCCATTTACCGTCACGTGGAAATGTATCTCTTTTTTCTAAATATTTAAATTGGCAAACATTAGATCTTCATTAAAACTGCACCTACAGATAAAGGCAATACACTTGAATAAAAAAATTAAAAAACACAACTTTGACCAGCCTAGTTCATAACCTGCCATTTCTTTTTTAAATCATTCATTGATGGTTTTCATATTGTGCTTTAGATCATTATCTAATTAAAAGATCTATTTCTGGTTTCACTTCAACTTCCAGACATATGGGGGTTGATTTACTAACATTATAAACACACCACGAACATGTATACACCTCTGTAGTGTGTTCCCTCCCAGCATGATCTATGGGCGGAATCTAAACACCTTTGTAGTGTGTACACACCCAGCAGGTGTGTTGTGCAAAGCCCTGCATGAATTGCAAGGTGATGTTGTGTAAATTAGCTCTATGTTGTGTTGCTTGCGTTGATGAATGCAGGAATGTAAATGCATGAGCTAACCATTTTTGTCTAAACTGTGAAGCAGCATTATATATGCATCATGTGCATGATTTTTCCATATATGGCATTAGTGGAAATATGCTTTTAGAGACTTTTTGGTTGGTAAATACGTTTTGCTGTGTGAAAATCACACGCACCTAGTGCGTGTGCGTGTGTTTAGGGTCATAAATCACTCCCCATGGCCACACATTCTCATTACGCACACTTTGACATATTGTATGAATTCATAGGTAACTCGATAAATCCAAAATTGCCCAGGCCCTGAAGCAGCAAAGCAAAGCAAAATATATTCACCAACATAACCTCACATTCAGTATGAGGTTCTTCTCTTAAAATGCTCTCTTTGGTCTGTGCCAAACATCTACTGTTACTGTGGCCAAACAATTCTGATTTGACTTATCAGTCCACAGCATATTGTTGCAGAAGACCTACAGGAATATTCACAAAAGGGTGAAGGGTTTGGGGAAGGCAGGAGAAGTGAACAATCTAGGCCAAAATAGCTGATTTGGAAAAATTGTCCAATTCAGCTCCCTTTCCAGTTCATCCATGTTGTCCTAGATTGTTCACTTCTCCTCCCTTCTCCAAACCCTTCACCCTTTTTTGAATAACCCTGATAGTCTTTGCATATAAGTTCAGTGGCAAACTGTAGTCTTGCTCCGAAGTTCTTTGTGAACAGCAAAAGCTTTTTCCTGGCACACCTCCCATGCAGGTTAAATTGGTGTAATCTCTTATTGACTGTAGATAAGTGCACTTTGGCACCAACTGTTGAAACTGTTGCATCCTGCAGATTCCAGGATGAAATTCTAGGGTTCCTGGAGACGTCTTTTAGCATCAAATGGTCAGCTCTTGGGCTAAATTTGCTGAGCCAGCCATTACTGGACACATGTGTGTCAGTTATTTGTAATCTATGTCACTTGGAGATTATTTTCCTTACAGTGGAATGATCAAATAATGTGTCAATCTTTTTAAATCACTTTTCAGACTCATAAGCATCAACAGCTTTCTTTTGATCTTGGCATGATGACACCATACATATCAATAGTAAAGAGAGCACCAGGCATTAGATATCTGAGGTTTAAATAAGACAGGTTCCACCTGAATACTCTTGAAATCATTGGCCCCTAATATGGCATGCATTTATTCCATGGATTTAAAGTTGTGGTAAATGTAAGGGTGTATTTTCTTTTTCAACCTGACAACTCTGCATTTTCTTTAATTTGCAGAATGAGAATGAATACACCATATCAATGTATGTGTCATTGTAAATCACCTTTATCTCTAGACACTGTTTGAATGAAGAACTAAAGGCTACCTATTATAATATGTCAAAAATGTCATTAATTTCCCTGGGTGTATCTACTTTTTCAGATGACTGTATATTTGTACCCTGCACCCTTTTGTATTCCTTCCCCCCTGCACATTTTACAATAGTGGTCATTTCCAGTTTTACTACCTTCTTTATTTGCTACATTTCAGCTGCCATGTTTAGTGCTCAGAACCCACTTGGCATAGATAAGGACTACAGGCACTTGGGATCTCTAATAGAGGTGATTTATGATCACTGGACAAAGAGTGGAGCTCTTGCTTATAACAACCAATAAAATTGAAATTAAGAACAAACAACTGGTAGTGTCTGCTGGTACATCCATTAAACAGGCTAGTATTGCTGTCAATATAATGCTCACGTCCTTGTCAGTCCATTACATTTACAGTTAGGTCCGGAAATAATTGGACACTGACACAAGTTTTGTTATTTTGGCTGTTTACCAAAATAAATTCAAGTTATAGTTAAAGAATTCCAGGATTTTTTTTAACCCTTGCAGTGGGGCTACCCCAGCACTGCAAGGGTTAAGTGCTCGATTGTGTCTAGATGCTAAAATAACAAAGATATACTCACCCAAAGCTCCGAGCTGGCCAGCTGTTACGGCGCTCCCTCTGACCTGTCTCCCCCTCCCTGCAGCATTGTAATCTTCTTCACCATCCTTCCG